TATATATGTACTTGGCACATCCGTGCTGCTTTAGCCCTTTTGGAGTATAACCAAAGTAGGAAAAAGCCAGGACAATCTCCTTTTCTGCAGAAGAGGCAAAGCAGTATTTGTTTGTTCAAGAGGCTGATGCACACAAATGAGCAATGCACCCAGAGCTTACTGACAGAATGGCTGGATCCTATTTTTGAAGCCGTTATTTTTCACAACCTAAAGATGCAAACCTAAGAAGGCAGAGATGGGCCTTGAGTTCCCTCTGGTTTTACTTTTGGTGCATTTCCAGCAGCCTGGCTCCTGTGTTCACTCACATTACCCATGTTGCAAATTCATCCTATACCCTGTGTGTGGAAACCAGCCTCTTGTGAAAGGATTTGCAGCACTCTCCCATAACAAAAAGCTCCACTGTGCTCTCCTTGTCACTCTATTCTCTGAGGCTCTTGAAGTGGATATACTAACCCAGGAGCAAACAAGCTTTGCCAATGAACTTAGATACCCAGTTGCAATTAGGAGGCTGTGGCTGATGATGCATAACACAGAAAAGACTGACAAGACTGAAGGAGTGCCACAAAATGTCATCAGGCATTATCAACTGCCATTGGGCCTGGAGCTTTCCTGTGGGGAAGCCTGCCAAGGAGGCAAGTGAGTACAATGACTGTGACTCAATGGCAAGTAGTCTCAGACAGTGTAAGAGGCCCAGAGTTGTCACATATAAATCTCCAAAGACTGGTGAAAACAGCTAGTGAAAGCGAGTGAAGCAGCAGGGAGAGAACTCAGGAGGCAAATGTTAGAGCATCACCGAACCATATGCAACCCTACAAAGATAATGGCCCTAAATTACCTCTCACTTGCATTGGTTCATTAAGAATTTGATAGAGCTGTACTGGTGCCACTGAAAGCCTATTCAGAGAGCTAAGTGGACTCTGGATCAGGCCCTAGGACTGGAAAATATATTAGATCATGAAGTACACTATTACATATTTTATAAGGGAACAGCTATCAATGTCTGCTCCACCCAGAGAACATACAAAAAACAGCTGGAAATAAGAACAGCTGTGTATATCCCAGCCACTCTTTAGCAGCAGTTTCTTCCAGCTTCTCCTGTGCTAATGTTAGGCATTTCTATGGCTCCCTATTTGTAGAAGCAATCTTTAAACACTGAGTAAACAATTAGGTTCAGTGACATATGAGTAAAACAATTATAGCGTAAATAAGATATGCTTGACCCTATTGTTATTTATTTGAGCTAACCTCTGGGTATGCAAATGTGGATGATGAGAGATGTGTTTGCAGGCATCTCTGGTAAGTGCTTCTTACACCACAACTTTTCGACCAAGATTTTGGTCTTTGCTAGCCAGATTTAAAACTAGTCTATTAATACACTGCAAAGGAGAGCATCCGTTGCTTATACAGAAGGTTTTTCTATAAAGGTCTTCCGAGAACAATGGTCAGCGGAGATACATAGTGGCTGGAGGTGTTGCTAGTGAGACTGCTACTTATTCCTAAGACAGAAACTTTCAGACCTGTACCAAATGACTTGCCTCTTGGGCAAAATATTTCACTCTTACTCAACAGAGCTGATTTTGATCACACGATGTGCGCAAGATCCATTTGCAAGTCTAACATAATGTCATCTACACTTACAAGAGGGAAAAAGAGATGTATTAATCTGCAGATAGATGGATTCTGTATCTGGAAGTTGGACACCAATGGTGTTCTTTCACCATGATTTTCCTTCTCCTTTAGCCATATAAACTACAGTATGTGTTGCATTATGGCTGCTTGATCATTGAATCTGAATATCCAACAATTGAGAAAGACATTTTATGGCATATAACCCTGGCTCCCTGGGAATAACAGACAGGTATTTAATTAATAGGAACTTGCATTTTTTTTCCCCTAAAGATAAATGATAAAAAATACAAAATGCCGTATTTTGCAGAGCGCCCTTGTGAAAGAAAATGTATCTGAGTGGAAAACTTGGCCAGAGTTTTCCATAACACACCAAATTAAACACGAGCTCCATTTGGAAAAGACTTCGAGTGTGCCTAAGGCTGTTTTTAGTATTGCTCATATGGAAACGTCACACCGTGCATGTCTCCATTGTAACCCACACAAAACTGATATTGCTCCCCAGGAATGCAGTCTCATGGCCTGTGCTGGTGAAGTAATGTGTGTCAGTCTTCATGGATAATTGGGAGATTCCTGAGGTTTTAGCTCTCTCGATCAATGCTAGCCTGAAGTTGCATATAGGACAGATTCTAGCAATTCACTGTCTCTTTCACTACAGCAGAGCTACAGAAGTCTATTCACAAGAGATGACTTTTGGAGTCTAGTGTTTCTAATGCATACATATATCACATATCTGTCCTGAAGTCTTATGTGAAATCCTTCTACCATCTGATATTATCTATATGATAAGAAATAGAATTTGTTCAATCATAACAGAAAAGCCCAAAGCTTATAATATCTGCCAATTTAATGTGAAAGTTGTCATGACAGAGGAATTCCTGGGTGTCACAATGCTGTAATGGCAGCAACCCTTCCCAACACTTAATAAGAAAGCTATTGCCAATGAAGAGGAAGGGCACAGAGAATACCAGTGATGTTAAGTGTCCGGGCCACAAAGACCTAGCCTGTTGAAATTAGTTTTTAATAAATATGCTAAAACAAAGGAAATTCCTGAACACTGGACAACAGCAAGTGTGGTGCCAAAAGTCAAAAATGGAGCTGAAGTGTGAGCCAGCTGGCCAGCAACAATGGGAGGTGAGGCAAGGCAATGAAAAACTGATAAAAAAGAAAATTAATTGAAATAATAAAGCATAAAAATAGAATTTAAACTGGCAATCCTGTTTTTACGGAAAACAGGCCTCATCATATATATCTGATGTTATTCTTCGATGAGATTACAAGTTTGGTTGATAAAGATAACTGCGTAGATGCAACACAGAGTTTGGTGAGTCAGAGAACTCCGCAGAACACAACATGCTGGCTATAAAAACATTACGAAACTTCTGTAGAAGAGAGGTTGTTTGTAGCAAGTTATGGTTGCAGGCCAACCACAGTCAATGGTTGCAAAGCTTCAGCAATCTGACATGCAGGAATTAACACCAGAAAATAAGAGGTTAATCGTGGAGATCAATGTGCATTATTTAGCAATTCTGGGCACTTAAAATCATTTTAATCCAGCCAAATGCAAATTTTCACAGCTGTCAATGAAGAATGTAGGCTGTACTTGCAGCAAGGAAGACTACTTGGAAATCAGTGAGAAGGGAAAGAGTTAATCAGCTGAATACAAGGCCTTGTTCTAGGAAAAGAAAAAATAGAGAAGAGAAGAGGAGAAAAGAGAAGAGAAGAGAAGAGAAGAGAAGAGAAGAGAAGAGAAGAGAAGAGAAGAGAAGAGAAGAGAAGAGAAAAGAAGAGAAAAAGAGAGAAAGAGAAGAAAGAAAGAGAAAGAGAAAGAAAAGAGAAGAGAAAAGAAAAAAGAAACAAAAGAAAAAAAGAAAAGAAAGAAAGAAAAGAAAAGAGAAAAGAAAAGAAAAGAAAAGAAAAGAAAAGAAAAGAAAAGAAAAGAAAAGAAAAGAAAAGAAAAGAAAAGAGAAAAAATAAAATAAAATAAAGAAAAGAAGAAAAGAAAAGAAAAGAAAAGAAAAGAAAAGAAAAGAAAAAAGAAAAGAAAAGAAAAGAAAAGAAAAGAAAAGAAAAGAAAAGAAAAGAAAAGAAAAGAAAAGAAAAGAAAAGAAAAAAGAACACAAACAAATTTGACCTTTGATTACACTAAAAGAAGAAGAGAACTGGAGAATGGATTTTTACCTCTGCATGTGGCACCAGCAAAACTATCCTGGTTTAGCACTTAATTTTTAAGGCTGCTAAATTTTGGAGTAGAAAAGTCTAAAATACCTTAGCAAAATGTTTTACATATTATGTATGGAATTCGATCAGTTTAATTAACCAGCAAGACAATGGAAAGGTGGCTTGATTGCAGTGTGTTTATACATACAAAAGAAGAAAATAGTGAGTATCAAAGGACCCTTTCATCTAAAGGAGCATAGCATAACAAGAAGCAAGGTCTGAGATGTGATGCCATACTATTTGAAGCAAACAATTAAGAACACACTTTAATAGGGAAAGTAGAAAATTGTAGAAATTACTGAGGAAATGGCAGTTTACAAATGAAAACTAAATGCTAGTTGCTTTTCTGGAAAAAAAATTAACTAAGTATAAGTTTTCAGGATAAATGCAGGGGTAACTGGCCTTCATTAAATAAAATGTCAAACTAAATGATCTAATGGTCCTTCCTGGTCATAAACCAAATGAATCTCTGAAGGAACAGACACTGCTTTTTCTTTAAAAAATTGCATGATGACTTTTGGTTTTCAGCCAGTTGAAAACATGCTTTAAATTTTCCAGAGTTTTGACTGTTTTCTCCATTCTGCCTTGAGTATTTCAAGCAGATCAGTATAAATGTTAATAAACGTATTTCCCACCAAAAAGGAGATTGTTCAGTCAATAGTTTCTACTGCCATCCATATATTTTTCTATGTTTATGACTAGCTTTACAAAGAGCTGGACTCCTCTGCATTTCCTGGTGAGAACCAGAATGCTTTGTCATTGAAATGTCCATAAAACTTTGTTTCGTGTTTTTTTCTTACCTGAATTTAATATTTTGTGAGTAATCAATGAAGTGAATGAACTTGACATACAAAGTCATCGTTTATTCCTATCTTTGAAGCCAAAAAGAGCTACATCAGTGCCATCTGCTAAAGTTTTTCATTTCTGTAGCACATGATGGGATCACATGAATGTGGAGCAGTTTCTCACTGCAGCACCATATGTGGTGTCACATTTTCTGCATACCTTCATTGCTACATGATACATCAGCTTAAAAGACAACTACGTGGATTTGTGCAAATTTTGGATCCCAAGCATATTAAAAAAAAAAAAGATAAATGGAGAAATCTAATGGGACGGGACCTCCAGGACCAGTTTTTCCCAGCATTGCTTACGGCACATCTTAGTTCTTCCCATCAATTTCCCCTCATGATGGGAAGGCGCTGTGCAGTTGGACCACGCGGCACTGATTCACGTGGTCTGCGCTGCTTGACACGGTTCACACCCACGTAGTGAAAACTGAAAGAAACAACATCCTTTTGTTTCACCAGCAAGATCAAGACTGTCTTTTTTTTTTCTTTCTTAGTGATATAGCCAAATACGGGTTGGTTTATCTCACTGGGGAATTCCACTTTGGGAAAACAAAGGATGAAGTGGTGTTTCCTAATGAAAAGCATACACTGCTGCAACCTACAGGCCACAACCGGTATGAGTCTGCCAAGAAATGCCTTTTTTTTTTTTCCCCCTTGCATAAGAGATTTTTTACTCTGTTTTCCTCTCAGTGCTCTACTGATTGTAATGGAATTATTTCTGAATTGTTCGCTATCAATGAAAGGAGAATTAGCTGCACTCTGTTTCCAAACTCTTCCTTAACAAGTACCAACATGTTGTCCTCCATCTATCTTCCTCCCACTCTGGGCATTTAGTTTCTTCTAGCAGCATATTCAGAATTTAAAACGGGAAAATTCTGCCACACACATTTGCTTAAGGTATATTTAAACAAGTACAAGGCAGAGTCGCAGTCGGAGCTGCACACTTCATAGCAAACCTTCCTCCAAATGAAGCGAAGGTCTCAGGGTAGGCAAATTACATAGAGGTATCAGTCTGGAGTAACCTCAGGCACCTTCACTAGCTTTTCCCCCATCTACCAACTTTGAGAAGACAATTTGTCAAATAGCCTAGCTTGTATTTCAACTCCTTTACTATAGACATGCTTATAATGCTTGGAAACACTACCTCCTCCTTGAACAGGGTGCTCACAGCCCCTTAGTTTTTCTGATGACAGTCAAAACTCATTCCACATTTCTGCTCAAAGCATCAGTTGTAATTACGAGAAAGATCAACCTGGGACCCCATGGAGCAAGCCATAGGTTTTGCCCAGCAGGCAATGGTCTGACTTGCCATCTGTTCTTCCCTTTGCATTATTTTCCTGTTGGAGGATGGCTGCAACCATCAAATTACAAACTAAAAAAATAACATGGCTGGTTACACTCCACAAATAATAAATAACCAGATCACCTAGAAGACAGTACACACAGGACATGGAAACAGTGCTTTTCTGGTCTTTCAACGCTCATTTGCCACTCACATATCCTTTGTGCTTTTGAATACCTCCCTTTGTACAGGAACACTTCATGTGCTGTCAATGATTTGCTTGAATCATACACATTTCCAAATAACTACATGGTCCAGCACCTAACAGTAAGCTCTGAAACCAGAAGCAGTTTGTAAATCATTCACAGAATCAAACAGAGAACAGAGCCTAGGAAAAGTACTATTTGAACAGCTATAATATACTTAAAATATTGCAATAAAACATTGATAGTTGGAAATCAATAGGGTCTGACAGACTAAGTATAACTCAGAGGTCACAAATATGAGTTTAACTAACTTCAGAAATATTACCTAGGCTGGATGAAGATGAAAATTGGCCTTTTCCTTTACTGAGTGAAGAAAGTGATTTCCTGCACTGTGATCATGTAGAGGTTTCACCTCTGCGCTGCTGTGCTGCTCTCCTGATAAGAAACTCTTTAATCTCCCTGACCCAGGGAACACTGATTTTCCTGATTTTCCAAAGGAAGTCATAACATGCAACATGCCTTCATCTCAGACATGTCCAGAGCCCTGAACAAAGCAGCATGACAGGACGTGCAACAGAGCTGCAGTGAGGCATGAGTCAGCCTCCTTTGGCCATAAATCTAAGTCATTGCAAAACTCCCTTCCATTTGTTCCATCTGATCCTCTCCCCTGATTAATTTTGCAATGGTGTAATTTTCACAGCACAGTTATACTCTCTGAAGGAGGTGCAGGATCTCTCAGGGAGTTTTGGAACAGTGTTGCCAACTCACATGATTTTTATCTCGAGTCTTATGATTTTTCAGCTTTCTTCTGCTTTGGCTGCCAGAAGCATGCAATGACATGAGAAACCCAGCTACCTTCCCTCTTAATTTTTATTAATAGCAATTTTCTAGTCGTTATGGCTGTACCCTAAAGACCCAGAAATCAAAACGCAAAAGAAAAAGAAGCCAATTTCGCCATTTTAACTGTGATTTTTAAGATTACTTGGTAATTCATGAAACCCTGACTCAAGATATTTTTCTATTGAAGTTGGCGGCACTGTTTGTTTTTCATTCTCACTAAACTGCCCCTTAATATATTCCGTCTCGGTTATTAATGAAATGGGGAGTACAAACTCTGTAACTGGAGGCAGAACAGCAACCCAAGTCATTTTTTTGAGGTGCCTGCAAAGGGCTTGTTGGTACTGGATGAGGAACAGGGCCATCAGGACTCTAGGAAGGAGAAGGGATGGAGCTGTCCTAACTGGAAAGACAAAGAAGAGAAAGAGAATATAAACTTGGTCTCCTTAAGGAAATTCCCCTCCATAGGGATTCCTGGAGGAAGGATAGCCTCTTTGAGCTTTTTCCTCCAGGAAGAGAAGAGATGGGCTGGCAAAAATCAAAGGCACCCACCATCTGCAAAGCAGGTCCCCATACATATGGCTGAGTCTGCTTTTCCTTTGGTTTTCACAGGGCTGCAACTAGAACCAGAACCAAGGAAATACTGTTCTTGGGGCAAAGAGGAGTCTGTATTTAGCCTCCTTTGAACCCAGAAAGGCAAATGATACATATTCGGCAGTTACCCAGCTTCCAAGCTGGGATTCTCCTTTGCCTTTCCAGGTGCCAGGGGCTGTGCACACAATACCCAGTGTCACTGCTCTTCAAAAACATAAGGGCTTGCAAATAAACAGCAGGGGTTTAATTATCTTCTCAGGCATTCAGTAAGGGTTTTGCTAAAGTCTACTGTGACCAAACCATGCTACTCACAGGCCAAAATCCCTATGTTGTTAATATAGCAGACAAGCACTTATAAAGGGCAGCTTTGCTATGGACAACCAGTTTTGACCCTGAAGAGACATATGACCATCAAAGCTGCTGTTTCTCAGAGGCTGCCAGAAGGTTGTGCACAAGATGCTTTTTCCTCTCTAAGAAGACCTGCTTTAACATCAGTTAGGCAATGGGGACCGTTGCTCATAAAGGAAGTGCTTCTGCCCAAGAAAACTGTGGCAAAATATTCTCTGGGTGTATGTTCCCTTGCTGAGCTGTAGCACGGTCATGAGCTGGTGGCCACAACATGAGTACTGTCATGCTTGGCATCTTTCTGACAGTGTTACCTACTGAAAGCATTTAATTAACTGATAATTTAAAACCTTCAGAACAAACAAAACAAAACACAACACAACTATTTAGCTCTGATGACTTTGGAGAAAACCTCAAAACCATAACCTGGGCATCCCTTGTAGGCAATAAAAGCAAGTGGTTTTGCCAGGTTTTGTGTTTTGCTTTCAGATACTGTGGTTATAAAGTCAAGCTCATGCTTTTAGAGGACCTGACATGATTTTTGCACGGCAGGAGGCATTAACAACTTATCTGGGCAGTATATTTGAGAGAAAAATCATTTAGTAGATATTAGCTATCTCTGGATAGTAATGGGCCAGTGAAGAAAAATGTGTTTTGCAGAAGTGTTCATTACCATTGCAAGTTTCACTTGCTTTAAAACAACTTGCATATTAAGTAGCAATAATGTAAGCCTCATTAGGGGCTGCTCATATGTCTGGCAGGGAAGGGATATATAGTTCTGTGACTTGCAACGGTAAGCTCTTCCCAACCTTTTCTGCTGGCAATCTCACCCTACCAAGCTCCTCATCCAGGTGAAGGCTCCCACTTCAGCTACTGACCTGCAGTCATTCCTCTTCTCCTTTATGAATAGCTACTCACATATCTTTCCATCTGTCAAGTGGTGTATTACTCTGTAAGTGCAAAATGGATTACTGGTATGTCCATTACTAGATTGGAGTCACAGTGAAACAAAGTGATATTCAAGGAGGATGAGTAAATGTATCAAAATGCAGTACCCGGGAAGGATTCAGCCCACTACAAACGGAGAATTATGCTCAGCTGTACTGAGCTTTGCCCCAGAGAGGAGAAAAGAGACCTGGAAAGCTAAGTCCTATAGCCTGATATTATATACAATATTATTGGAAGAAGGTTTTTTGACAAATGGAACATGTAAATGTGCAGATTTGCATTTGTAAATTTGCAAACGTAAACTTGCACACAGAGATAGAGATTTCTAAGTGTACTGAATATTCTGGGAATATGGAATGCACCCCTTTGAGTGAAAAAAAAAATAAAATCAAGATTTGGTGTATTAATAGCCAGACACAACTAATAATGAAAGATTTCACCCAAAACTGTAAGATATGTTGTATTTTTCATGCCTCTAAGCAATGAATAATGGCATTTCCTGCAATCTATAATAAAAAACCCTTTAATTTCTGCCAAGTATGAAGTTTTTATGAAGTTAAAGGAATAAAAATTCTGACCTTCAAACACAGTCATACCAATAGTAATAAACTACAAAATATGGACAATCTGGTTTACCATTATCCCTCAGTTAGATGAGATTAGCTAATCATGCAGTTTAGTTTTCAAACATCTATATAGTGCTGTTATGTTTGCTTGTTTGTAGTTCTGGCAGACAAGCCTCAAAAGGATGAAAAACATGATTAAGGATTTATTTACATTTTCTTTAAATACCAGCAGCATTATATTACGAATGATGTTTTTAATCACCTACCCAATTCTGCGCTTATAATGCTGCCTATAAATTCTGAGCACTGATTTATTTTTTGACAAAGCATTGCTGGTTTTATGTGCAAACCTACAGAGCCTGATCTAACCCTCATTAGAGTCAAGAATCAATGGCTTTTACAGACATCTGAGCATTCAACCAGGTCCCACTGGTATCTTTTTAAATCAGTAGCAATCACACAAGAGCAACAGAGAACTTGCAGCTTCATTTCAAAATTTCAAGTCATGTTAAATCTACTGTTTTAAAGCCAGACCTTGAGAGGCAGAGGTGAATGCTCCCTTTTACAAGGAGCAGACCCTCTCCTGTGGGTGGCTTTTAGCAGTAGCTCTAAAATCAATGTACAGAAGAAGCATCTTGATCCCTAAATTTCAGATGAAACATGAAGTTACATGGCACACCTGAGCAGACCCATCGGTTTAACACTGCTAAATGTGGGAATTCCACTCCCTTTGCCAGGGCTGCTCCTTCCTCTTCCTTCCCTCACCCCTTGCTCCTGCCAGCACAGCTCCAGCCCCCACTTTGCACAGCCTGTCCCTTGTGAGACACTGAGTCAGCTCAGACCACTAACCTGGCAGAAAACTACCCACTTTTTCCACCTGGTTAGCCAGCTTACAGCACTTCCCTTAAACCCACACTTTTGCAGTTGCAAAGCCAACTTACCGGAGAACCGCCATGATAATATCACAACATTATGTAAAATTAGCAGCATCAAAAGCCTTGACCCTGACTTTACCCCCACTCACACAAACCAAGAGGAACTACACTAGCACATAAAAGAGCTGTAAGTGAGGGGAAACTCAAGGTTTCAAGATCTCTGAGTGTCCCAAACTACTCCTGCCTTTGTGGGCTGCACTCTGGCTGCCCACTCATCACCTTGGATGCTGCCTCTGAAAGGAAGGGGAAAAAAAATCAAAGGCTGAGAACAAAGAAGGTCATTCAGCAGCTGTTTCAATCCTATCTTTATTTAACCATAGGCCCCAAGAGCTGGAAAGACTTATTAGGTCATCCTAAGTCAACTGCATGCTAAAGCAGGAATGCACTGTGTAGTATTTTCTTTTGAGTTTTTATCAGTTTATATTTAAATGATTCAAGTAATGGGGATTCCACCATCAGCCAAACTTTGCTGTTTGGAAAAACACACAGAGAGCTTACATTTCCTTCCGCTCCTTTTCATGCCATTCCTACTCACTGTGTCTCTTTCTACCAACACAACTTTCCCCGTGCTTCTAAAGCAGCTTCCCCATCCCTGCCATGGGGTCATGTTCCACTGGGACAGGGTGGAGTAAGAGGAAAGGTTTACTCATGTGAAATACAGCTTTAAGCACAAATTCATTTTCAAGCCCTTGGGAATATTTGCACCTTGGCCACTGACATAAAACACAGCAATCTTGGGAATGTCCTGAGAGGTTTTAAAGTGCAAGCTGGTGATCCTGACAAACTAGACCCTGCCCTGTTGGGTGACTCCAATGTCACTATGACAGCTGAATTACTCCGCTTCTTTTAGTTTTTATTTAAGCCATTCAGGCTTCTTTTAAGCATCCCTCCATTTACAGCCCTCCCGCCCTAACTGACATCCTTCCAATCTGTGCAAAGGAGCCTTTGTTTCCCCGACCCACTCCAGAGAAACAAGGCCCTTTGCAAATTGCAGACCATCCTTTCAATTATACTTCTATAGTAATGCTGGCACATTAGTCCCACTTATCCTTGGTTAATAGTTCAGCTTATATTCAAACAGCCATTAACATAAAATCAACACAGCAATTTTGTATGAGTTCTCATATCATTAATCCATTTAAAGTGGGTACACAGTTCACACTCCAAATTCACTTAATTATTGACTTCATAACATTTAAAGAGGCCATGGTCTTTGGATCCATTGGAATGCTTTGTTTTGTTATTCTTTTTTCCCTTCTCCCTACTTCTATAGGTTTTCTGAAGAAGTTAATTTTGCAAGGTTTGGGTAATGCTTGGAGATAGGTCACTTCTGTGGGAAACCCCCACCTAATTACGGGTTCAGCCTCATGAGGAATAGCCTTAAAGAGCCCATTGGTTGGTTGGTTGGCTCAATTGAAGGAGAGAGGGGAAATGTTCATGATGGGCTGCATAAAATGAACCCCATTTTTCCAAGCCCCTCTGCAGAAGGCAGCCCTGAGCATCCCAACCTGAAGCATCCCCCTGCAGGCTCCTTTTGGCCTCCTCCACTGCCATGAGATTCGGGAAGCCCTCACGTTGTCCTGCTCTGGTGGCAGCCACAAGCCCTGCTGAGGAAGGGGAGATAATTACATCTTCCTCTGTATCCAATATAATTAGCTCTCTAGCTCTGGCACAGACAGTGGATATATCATGATAATTTCTAAGTACTACACACAAAATTAATAGATTCATCAAAATTGTCTATGGAGAAGCTTGTTTGCCTCCATAATTTAATTCAATACTTCATTTTTCTCACTCCTTCCCCATCCCTCTCTTTTCTCTCCTTGTCGTCACCCATGGCAAATGATGTTCGCGCTTCAGCTGCTGTTACAGGGCAAAAGCAATCAGCAAGCAGCGGGTCTTGCATTTCACTTTGAAAAATGGCAGGTTAGGGCTTGTCTGAATCCTCGCATAATTTGTGCCGCTGTTGGAGGCCTTTCCCAGAGACTGGTCTTCCTCCAGTGGCTCCAGTGGGGTTTGGGAGCATGAACAAAGATCTGGGAAGGATCAGAAAGACATTCAGGTGCCATGGAGAAATGTGTGCGTGGCTGATGGGTCTGGGCACTTCCCCGAGGGTCCCAGTGACAGCAGAGAAGGGTGCCCAGCACCACGCAGTGACCCAGCCTGTCATGCAAGGCTAGGCTGTCGGACTCAAGCAATAGGTAGGTCCATGCTGGACATGCTGTTTGCCAAAGTCCTTGAAAAGTACTTTGTGCCACCCCTGTGATTATCATGGTTCATTTCATTACCTTAAAGCCATTTCTGCTTGCCCTGACTACATAGCAAGCTGCATCTTGCAGTACAGACATATCCTGAACACCCTTTCTCCTCTCCAAGACATCAGGACATGTCCATTTGTAGCACGATTTTGGCAGGAAAATGTACTATAATAGACACAAGTAGATACTAATTACATTAGGCTTTCTGCTGGAGAAGGTTCATTTTAGCCTATGAGGTTACCCTGCTTTTCCCTGTCTTTCAGAGAGAAGTGAATGCTTGGAAGATGATACCAGTGGAGAGGAGCCAAAGTTTATTAATGCAGTCCTACCACAGACATCAGCAAAAGCACAATCATATATGCACAGTGCTGCAGGTTATAAGCAAAGGTTTTAATTTGGATACTGTAGTAAAGAAAAGAGCAGAACATCCCAGGACAGATAACTGCAGTGTGTGGTTTATTCTTCTCAACTGGGCCTTAGGATGTTTCCCACGTCTTCACCACACTTAACACTGTTACCTCTTAATTCAGGCACATGGGAATTCCCAGGTAGAGTTTCCTTCAGACTGCTTTTAAAAGAATGGGTAAGTACTTGATAAAACTAGGTGCAACTTTCCGCCTGTTTTATTGCTTACTTGGTTATTGCTCTGAGAATAAATGTTGTTTCCTATTTGAGATTTGAGTGTTATCCATGCCTCTTACTGGTCCTTTTCTGTTTGTTGTATGCATCTACTTATAAGGTAATCCTGCTTTTACTATAAAACACAATAAAAACATTGAAAGGAGTTGTAAAACTGCCCTAGAACATTGTGACATTTCACAAATATTGGCAAACATCTCCATGTTCTTCCTAAATTTGCCAAAGGTTTTCTAAATATTGTGTTCAGAAAACACAGTCCTCATGAAGAACAGCTTCTCTAAACAAGATCCAGAGGCTGGTTTCAGGCATCATGCAGATGAGCGCTCTCACTGCAGGCACTTATGTGTTCCTTGGGACTATGGTCCCTCTAGCAGTTGCTGGGGAGTTGAAGTAATTGAGAACTTGTCTGCCCCTACCTGAGCATGCAGCAGTGATTGTGGCTCTTGGCAATTTGAAGAGTATCACAGGACAGGAGAAAGCCTACTGAAAAACACAGACTGCTCCTAAACAGCCAGATTCACATCAGCAGTTTCATTATATCACCCAGGTAGTGCATGGTGCTCAGCACTCTGGAGAGTGTGACTACAGTAAGGACTGGACCTTGTGGTGGCATTACAGCACAGCCCAGCAGCTGAGCTTACTGCCCTATGGCACAGCCACCACATCAGAGGCTCGAGAGCACGAGAGGCTTTGTAACTGGAACAGCTATATTTCTACCTAGCATTTTTAAGAGGAAAAAAACGTTAAAACCAAACTCAAGCTGTGGAGGTACAGCACATGAACAGGCCAAGGTGCAGAGCACACCCACAGTCTGCCCAAGCAATTTGCATCAGACAAATCCCCATGCAGTGACTCAGACAGCGCATCCCCCAAGCCACGGGTTCGTGCATGCACTGCTGCCACAGGCAAGCTTTGCAGGCAGGCAGCCCTGCCAGCACTAATGGTCTCACTGTGCTGCTGCTCATCCTCAAACACCCAATCGAGGACGTGTCCAGACAAACAAGGCTACTGAGCTCTAGCCTCGAGCCAGAACGGACTCAGCAGCAGTAGTGGAAAAATACCTCTTTCCCATGTGTATCCATTCACTCCTATGGGCAGCTGCTCTTACCTCCCATTCCTCTCCATACTACACATGAGTTAATATAAACTAACTTGGAGGGCTGCCCTGCTTTCGGGATTCACGTCATGTTGGGCCCCTCGCCATCCTCGTAAATATGTACTAAAGTTATGGTCTGTGTTCCCAGAATAGATCATGTTGTAATCAAATCTGGAATAATGTGGTTAAATATTTTCTCCATTTTACTGGGTCCATCTATTTGCTGTGAAGAAACACCACTGGAGGAAACAATTTAAGGTTGAATGATCCCAAATTTACACCTTCCTTTTGATGAAGATACTTAAAAGGAAGAAAGGAATTGAGACAACGACGGGCTCTTTTGCAGTAACTGTCAGTGATACTCCGTTGGGGGGGATATAATGGATGCCCCAGATGTAACCAACTCCTGTACATATCTTCCCCTTTCCAAGGTGCTGCCTGAAAGGAGCACTGAGACGCTCAGAAATGCAATCTCAGAGATAAAGGTAATTTCCAGCAAGCCAGCAGTCTACATTCTCATTGACTTCAGTGGGATAAAGTTTCAGAGTGTAGCTGTAGGCCTGGAGACCATAAGAAGGTCCAGTAATGCCCAGTTGTAAATCAGAACAAACTCTGATAACTGTCTCTGGAAGTTGGAAGTTCCACAGATCCATTCATACACACCCCATGGCGTTGGCACATAGCAGGTATTACAAAAAGGATACTACAGCAGAGCCTGCTTTTCCTTTCTTGCAGAAACAGAAAAAGAAGAGAAACATTTAATTCCCATGTTTGTATGAAAACATAATCCTGATTATTGTATATGCTTCTTGAATGGTAGAAGGACACATCTATGCTTACATCATTTTATTAATGGAAATGAAAGAGGAAAATGAGAACACATGTTCATACCAATGAACAAGACAGGCTTTTCTGGTGTATGTTTTAGACAGATGGGCCTTTCTTAATGCCTTGGATTTTCGCTCTCCCCACTTTCTGCAGTGAAGATGCCCAGCCAACTATTGAGTCTTTTTTCCTCTCTGTGCTGAAACAAGCCTACCCACAGAAAAAAAAAACACCCAAACCCCTGTGTCCAGCCTTGTTTCACAGAACTGAGAATTCACCCTATTTTTTATAGAACGCTATCTCTGAATATAGAATTGAGCTCTACCCAAACTCCTTAGATCCTCTCATGATTTTCATTTAGAGTTCTATGATCTTACATAGGCCTGATCATTTCCACATAGATAAATGAGGTGCAGAAAGACTGAACCACTTGAATATAACATAAGAAAGTCTGTGTTAAGGAAAGGACTTAAAGCCATATCCACCAAAGCCTTGCTGCTGCCCAGACCACTTTATCTGTAAGAGCATTTTATTGGAGCCCTGGGTCACAACTGGACATCTTGTTCCACGGAGTGTATGCTCAGATGCAGTTCTCCTCCACATCAGAAAACACCAATGTCCTGGGTTCAGCAGTAGCAGTCATTTTTCTCCTTCTTGGTAGCTGGTGCAGCGCAGTGTTTTGACTTTCAGCCTGGGAACAGCGCTGATAACACCGATGTTTACACTGACCAAGGACTTTGTGAGGCTCATGCTCTGACAGGAAGGAGGGGAGGCTGGGAGGAAGCAGAGACAGGACACCTGACCCAAGCTAGCCAAAGAGGTATTCCATACCACAGCACGTCATGCCCAGGATGTAACTGGGAGTTACCCAGAAGGGCACGCTCTTCTTGATCGGGCTCATTTCAGCAGGTCGTATCGTATTCTCTTCCCTTGTTATTTCTCTTCTCATTATTATTACTGGTGGTAACAACAGTGGTTTGCGTTATACCTTAGTTACTGGAATGTTCTTATCTCAACCTATGGGAGTTACATTCTTTTGATTCTCCTCCCCATCCGCCCGGGAGCAGGGAAGGGGGGGTGAGGGGGAAGGAAAGAAAGAGGAGAGTAGAAACTATGTGGCTGTCTGGGTTTAAACCACGCCAACCAACATTCAAAAATTCCTTGGAATAGAAATTCTGAAGTAAATAACTGCTTTTGATGTAAAGACATTTGGGTTCTGCATGAATTAGTTTCAATTTTTGACAGTTTGACAGTTGTAGAAATATAATTTGAAATTCCCCAAAGGGGAAGTGAAGTTTTCTGGTTTACTACTGCAGATAGAGACCATCCCAATACTGTGTAATTTTCTGGTCTTTTTCTCTTTTCCCTTAACAACACCACCAACAAAAGACTAAACAGCATAATTTTACAATTTTGATTCTTGTGGAATTCAGTCCTTGACAAAAGGATACTCAATGAATATCCCTGCAAGCAGTCCTATCCTGTTGTCAGGGGGATGATCAACTGAACATCTGTAGCTGAACAAGCAGATTTTGCTCTTTCTTGTTTTCAGATGTTCATGTACTGCCCAAGCACAGGGTTGCTGTAGTACTACTGCCTCTGCCCTGCTTTATTTTCCTCCTTCCTTTCCTTTCTCAATGCAAGTCTTCTGCAGCAGACCGGGGTGTAAGGCTTGCGTTGGTCAAGCTGTAGTTTGCAGCATGATCCTATAAGTGCTAGGGTTCTCATTGTGAACAAGGATACCAAGAAGTATCTGCTGTAACATGAAGAATAGATAGCTTACATTGAC